TGATTAACACATTTCAATGCAACCTCCCCAATCAAACTCCCTAACCCCTGGGGAACTCGAAGTGATGAAAAATTGATTAGAGTTCTGCACAGATAAACCCGACTGAATTAACTGCTCGAAATGATTTCTGCCTTCAAAGGGTCTCTGTTTAATTTACTTAGGAAGAGGAAAAGTGGCCTTTTCAAAGTATTTTCCATCTCCCAAGATTATTCTAAAATCAATGAATGCCTTGCCAGCCACAACCTCTTGTCTGGCGAGACGACAAAACTTTCCATCTGCCAAGAGACCAGTATGTCAACCCACTCTACCTGGATCCATAATTTCATTCATGTACTATTTGTATTTCTATTACTAGATTTTTATTTAACATCTTGAACAATTCTTTGCCAGGTATGATTTAAACTGAAATGAAAGCTGATGTCTGGAAAAAGTCTTATATATTAAGTCATTAGTCTAATAAATGCTGCAAAATTTCTACTATTAGATTACCTACTATTAACCTTAAAACTATGTTAATTTATGCCACTGCTATTATTCTATATTGCATCTATGACTTTCAGCAATTAAACTTCATAACCAAGCAAAACACCTATGTAAACTGATTAACTTTCTTTTAACCACTTATTAGTAAATAAGTTGAAAGAAAAAGCACTAAATCCTGTTATATAGTACCAAATGTTTATTTCATTTTCTTTTTCCATTTCCTCCTTTTTTTTTTTTTTCGAACCCTTGCTGTCAATTACAGATCTTATTTTATGGAAGTTGTTCACTGTTTTATCCTAACTCATTTTTTTGTATAACTTCAACCCTTTGGTTGACCCAGTTTTAATAAACTTATTGTAATTCCTATAATCAATGAATTATTGCTACTGAGGTTTCACATAAGTTTCACCATAAGTTTCAGTTTTAATGGCAATTTTCAAAAGATTACAAATCCATTCTCTTGTAATATTGCCATAATTTAGCTAGTAAACTCTTGACAATGACAAAGCAAAAAAGAAGAAAAATTGCAAGAAAAAATATGAACCCAACCAATCAATGTACCTCAGGCATGTTTCCAGCCCATTTAGGCTGACCAAACTTAGTCTGCCCCATGGCTTTCTAAGGATGTGTCTTGCTACCTCCACCAAGGAATTTATGTTTTCACCTCAGTTTATCTGTATGCCACCATCCTAACTCACAGTTATGGATGGATGTTGATGAAATTTTCAGGGCATGTCAGAAATGGGCTAACTTAAAAGTGATGAGATTTCGGTATTGACCATTAGTTAATTAATTCATGGTAAATTTCATGTTTATTATCTGTCTTGCTGAAATCTGCACTCTCTGAGAGTTTTTCTAATCACAAATAAAATTGCTGTGAGTGGAACCACAAGGATTAGATTTGCTGCAGAAGGTGAGCTGATCACAACAGGACAGCAGAACTGACCTAGATCACGATAGGCGACTAAAAACTCATCTTCAAATGACACTAAAATGCCATTTAACCTTTTAAGCTTTCTATCCAGGAAACTGCTCTAGATGTGGTCTACAGTTCCACCTTAGCAATGAAGTCCAATGGAAAAGATAAGCTCTGACAGCAAGACATGTGGCATTTAAGAAAATTAGAAACATTGCCTTTGTATTGATTTTTTTCCGACACTCCATGCTGGAAGTACCTGTCTAAGAATACTGGACAAATGGGAATAAAGAACACAGGAACCAAGTCTACAGCTCCAGTACTCAAATTCCTTTCTGGTATTTTTTTCTTTTCTTCTTCTTGCACTGACTAAAATTACACACAAACTGTATTCTTCCATTTAATGGGAAAAATAAAGACAGGAAAGAAAGGGGGTTGGGGAGAGAGAGAGAGAGAGAGAGAGAGAGAGAGAGAGACTGAAAATTCCACCCATCCATCCATATGCTAATAGTAGTATTTAGTTTTCCGGTGTATCCGTCTTATCCATCTTAGTTACCGCAAGCTACTTTCTCCTTTCCAAGCATGTAATTACTATAGTTGTCATACCAACAATCCCGGCAATGCAACATCTATATACACCGCTCGACTTCCCAGGTAAATTTGTTGATCAATATTTGTAATTGACTGGAACTGCCGTACATCAAATCTTTGTCCAAACCAAGACGTATGATGAATCAATTCTACCTAATCTCAGCTTGCTTAAAAGGTCCTTAATTAGCATATCATTTGATCTAGCTTCATCAATTAGTTCATGGAAATACTTGATCTAATTTTCAGTGCTTCAGATATAAAAGGTTGTGACGTAAAGGATCTTTTGATCATGCATTGTTTTATGGGGAGATTTGTGTATAGTGTACGTTCTCTTATTCTTGTGAGATTTTAGCTTTGAAGATAAAATCATAAATGAAGAAAGGTTGACTCTCTGAGAAAGCAGTCTCTGCAATTATGTGGTAATTAAAAAAATTGTGGTCTGAAATTCATGTAAAATTATTCATCAATTAAAGACGGAAGTTCCAAATAAAAAGATTGATTTTCTAATCGACTACGTTTTATCATGAACAATGGATCACAATCAAGCAGTGAAAATGTTAAACAACTCTCATAAAGGAGACACAGACCTGAAAGCCCTCTTACCGACAAACATAAACTTTGCTCTGCCATTCTAAACACCCCCCATTCATCTACAGATAAAAGAACATTAAGCCTTTTCAAAATACATGAGAGGCGCTCAAAGCATTTCCAGCAAACACAATGCTCTCTTCTATTTGCATATTCATAAATTTTCCAGGAAGAAAGCTCCCTTTCAAGTACACTTTGAAAGGTGTCCAACTGCCATTAACATCAGACACACCAGCGGATCCAATACAATCCCAAGCGCTTCAGAACCCTTCAAATTCCCTTCTCACACTTAAACAGAAAAAAAAAAAAAAAAGGACCTCCTGGATAAGCTGGTGAATATTTGATAGAGAGATCTTCTATTTTAAACTTGGCCGCCTCCTGGGGGTGTAATTCTATTAAAGGTACTGCCGTACTGGCAACTCTCATTAAATTTGCATAACTGATAACTGCGGTGCAGAACCAGCACGGGCTGTGATTGATTTTTCAATTAAAACACGGCTTTTTTTAATACTGTGTGGGCTGTTGTTTCTGTGCAACTCTGGTAGAAGGGGCACTCAAAACACTTAAGGCATAGGGCTACATTTTATAATCCAAAATCACCAAAATCAAGAGACTTCACGCTCGACTTCACCATAAATAAATCATCTGTGGACTGTATATAATTATCTAGCTGTATATTTTCTTTAGTTTGATAACAAGACCATTTTTAAAGGAAGGAAAAATGTTTCTAACCATTATTGCTGGGTTTCTTTCACATCATACTACCCTTGGCAGACAACATATGACAAACTGATTATTACAACCTTCCAAATTACTGGCATATTGTGCCTCAGCTTAAAATCTCATTTTTCACATAATAAATGATAGATTCACTAAGCATGTTCAGCTTGAAAGATTCTCCTTCGTAAAAAAAAGCAAATTACCCTAATACATATTTCAATTATTTACCTATGTATGCTGGAAAGCACCTAGATGACTAATAAAAAATGGCTGGGTGAAGCCAGGGTGTGTATTTCATGCAGAAATGAATTACGTGGAGCTTCAGATATCAGCCATGTTATACATCTTGCAGTCTCTTGGGTTTTGCTCTCTCATCTGCTGGTCAAAATCATATACTAATGAGGTCTGTGGGTGCTTTTTTTTTTCAGACAAGTATTACATAGCTCAGATAATGAGCTATCATTTGGATGGACTGCTTAAGCAAGAGATGTCTTGGAAAAATTTGCTTTTGGATAAAAACATTCTAGGTTGAACCTATTTTGAACAGATAGCCTGACAGCTGCAGTGACTCCACTAAAAATACGACAATGTATTCCATATAAAACAAATCAAGGTGTTCAAGCGGAATAGGTCAAATTGAATGTACTAATATTTGAAATCTACTGGGCAAGCGATAAAAGCAAACCCATGTGTTCAATCTCGTGGGTTAGCTGAAACAACTGGTCATTCAACTGTGGTCTAACCACACACTGATATAAATACAATAGCTACTAACTGGCTTTCTAGTCATCTATCTAGTGGAGTGAACAGGGAACTCCTCATCGTGGAAAAGCTTGAGAGAGAGAGAGAGAGAGAGAGAGAGATTGAGATTCAAATGTACCAGCAGCTACTAAGACTCCGCTTTCTCACCATATGACATTGTACAGACCATGGAAAAGACCCAGGGGATTTAATTCTCCAAAGTATTCAATACCAACAGACCAAACACTATCCCCAGAGTTTCATTTCTTGGATTTAGGTCATATCAAGTAGTGGTTATCAATACATTCTCAGTATAAAACTGGTCAGAGAATAGAGAAAAGCCATGAGGATTTTCAGAAGGTTTCTGTCATTGGAGATGCAATCCCATGAGATGCATCCCCATTTAGTTCAAACAGAAATCTTTTTTATGGTTTCTGCTTAGGGTCACCCCAGATGCCTTCATTTTCTTTAATATTAGATAGAATACATGAAATATCTCTGGAGATTCTTTTTAATCTGCTACTGATCAACTGCATGGTCTCCTGGGATTTTAGATTCCAAAGAGTCCATTGAGAATATGGAAATAGGCCAATGGGCACAGGCTTCATCTTGTTTTAATAGGTATGGCTTTTGCAGGTTAGCAGAACTTTTATTGACAACAACACATAATTGATCAGAAATCTATGACATTGCACCATTTACCAGTCATGTCATTGCACAGTTGTGACAGATGTGACAATTGTTCACAATGATTAGGTTGGACTGCCCCCCCCCCAAAAAAAAAAAATAATTTTTTTTTAAAGTTATTTGAAAATCAAGTACAGTATGTACAAATAAAATTCCCAATGCCTATATTTGACTGAAACATAAGGGGCATAAGACTGTAATCAATCTTCATGGGAAACATTATTTCCATGTTCACACAAAAATCTACCATAAGACTTGTATTTAGAAAACTTACCCAAATCTTTTCCAAAGCCAGACTGCTTGAAGCCACCAAAAGGAGCAGCAACATCCGTCTTGTTGTATGTGTTGACAAATACTGTGCCGGCATCAATGTGGTCTGCTACCCACAATGCTTTGCTCACGTCATTTGTGAACACTCCTGATGCCAAACCAAATTCTGTGTCGTTTGCTCTTCTTACTACATCTTCTGTGTCACTGAAATCACACAGGAAGTTTTATCTTTTTTGCAAGATTTGGTATGTGATAAAATACATAAATTTCATTTACATATTTTTGAAAAGTGAGTAAATGTATTGTCAAGGTTGGATAACACACATGAAATCACTTTCTAACCAATGACCACAATTTTGTTACTGGTTACAGGAAAACATTTTCTTACAATCTTTCAATCACAGTTTATATATGTTGATTTAAGTGCAGGTATATAATATGATCATGTTATACATTGTTCTGATTACAGAAAAACAGGTTTTCCTACAATATTTCAATCACAGTTCATCAACATTTAACATGATCATATCATATACCTGCACTAAAATTAAATGTCTAATCTTAATTTTAGCACTTACCCATTCTTAAACTTAGATATCACCATGACAGGCCCAAAGGACTCTTCCTTGGCAATAAACATGTGGTCTTCAACATCAGTGAAAACTGTGGGCTCCATGTACAAACCTACAGGAAAATAACAGCAAATAATTTCTAAGAACTGAAGTGGATTTAATAATCCTAATTAATTGACTCTAATAACAATGCATACAATCAACAATTATAAGAGTAAGTTACTAAGATCTATTTATGTGACAGGACTATACGGTAGAATCCAGCAAATTTCATATATTGCTATGTGTGTAGTATATTTGATAACTTTTTTCAAATGTTGCCCACATAAACCCTCACTGTACTACAAACTGCACAGCAAGTCGACATGTCAGCATTAATATTGCACCACTTCTTGCTCTCCAAGCTTCTACAGTAAGAAACTAGAACAGAGCACAGTGCAAACTAACTACTGCCCTGACCGTAACCCAATAAATATTAATGCATAAGACATTGAATAAATGGCAAAAAAACATCATCAACAAAATGCTTAAAGTGAAAGAAATATGATCGAGATGTCTTTACATAGACAAACATGACTATTAATGGCAATAAAGCAATGTTTTCTAATGTTCTATGTTTCTTACCTGGAATATCGACCTGTTTGCCTCCCATCACTAGCGTGGCTCCCTGATCTACCCCAATCTGGCAGTACTCTATCAGCTTCTCTAAATGAGCTCTGGAATATAAGAAATGTGATAAAATCTTATCCATCTTTCATCCATACCATGCAGAAAATAGCTCCAGAATGTCTCCTTGTTATTCTCAAATGTGTGTGATAACTAAGAACATTGAGAGCGTAACATACCTGTGGTTTTGAGGACCATGGTCTGTGGACCTGTCCAGGGGATTGCCTATCTTCATCTTCTTTACTTCTGTGACCTGGAATACCAAGCAGGAATTTGATATATTTTCAAAACTATTTTTTCTCCCCTTAATCCAAATATCTATCATATTTACCACTTGAAATACTTTTCTTTACATTAATTACAGCCCTATCCCCATTACCATTAATAGTGACATCAAATTTTTCTTTTCTCTAATTTATTGCAATTGAAACTTCCATTTGCTGCATTTCGATGGCATGCCCCATCCCCCCTCTCTCTCTCCCTAACACACACACATCCCTACCAAAACACACACACACACACACACATCCCTACCAATTAAACTCACAACTACTTACCACCCTGTCAAGGAACTTGTCATGGATTTCCTCCTCAACAAACAGCCTGCCAGCAGCAATGCAGTTCTCTCCCTTGTTGAAGAAGACGGAGCTCATTGCCATTCTGACGGCCTTGTCCAAGTCACAGTCGTTGAAGATGATCAGCGGGGATTTCCCTCCCAATTCCAGGGACACTTTCTTCAGATTACTTCTGGCACAGCTTTAAGGGGATGAAGAACAGACGTTAACAGTTTTGGTAAACAAATATATTAATATATTAGAAAAAAAAATTAAAATAAACAAAACAGGGCTAGCTTATCAGCCATTTGGTTAGATTCAGACACATGCGTTTATCTATAAAATCAGTGCAGAGGTGAAGAGTTGTGCTAAAAAGATTATTAAAAACAAAGAGATGATGGCTGATGAGCAAACTTTTTCAATGATCTCCTGTAATCTTAAACAGCCCATGGTCTTTATTCGCTGACTTATATCAACATCATCTATTTATTAATATTATCTATTCAGAATGTTCTATTTACTAAAAGATGTTTTTTTTTCATTATTGGACCAAAAAGGCTCACATCACATTGTTTTATTTAATTAAAAGTTTAATTCTTTAAGATTTAAACAGAATAATTATATAAACTAGGATCACCCCTACCTCTCCATGATGGTCTTTCCAATTGGTGTGGAGCCAGTGAAGCCAAGCTTCCTCACTTGTTCATGGTCTGCAATGCCCTGTCCCACCACTGAACCTGTAGGGGGAACAACGCGAACAAATACCGTCAAAATGTGAAAAGTAAGTCATTTCTAAGGATCTAAAAGCTTTGTTCTACCAGCGAGAAATGGTGTTTTGATGCTATACTCAAGGGATTTGATAGCATGACTGATCTCTCGAATGTTTTACGTGACAATGTGATATCTCTATCATTTATGTTTAGGTTACTATCTTAGCCAAACCACATAAATAAAAATACTGTAGGGTCATAAGATCAGCCCCTGGTCATCACTAGGACCAACAGCTAGCTTCTCCTGACCACCACTTGCTGTCCCTCCTCACCCAAACAGTGACCAGCTGGACCTAACAACTGGACTGTCCCCTAAGCCAGGAGGAATTGATTCTATGGTGAAAACACTGGATCACACAGTAAGGACTTAGGGGAAAGTCTGGCAAAAATCTTAGCCAATTATGCTGCCTTTTACACTGAATTTAAAATGCCATTTACCAGTTTTTCTCTTAACTAAGTTCCAAAGGTAGTGTTTACTTTTTAACAATAATTTTACTGTCAGTAATTGCAATGGTCAATTGAATTTAGTTTTGTAAACAACATTTATAGTGCTCAGGATCAATCTTGTCTTGCACTACTGCTGCCACCTACCTGAGCCTGAGATTATATTGATGACACCAGCTGGGAATCCTGCTCTGACAACAAACTCTCCAAACTTTAGGGACGTGAGAGGTGTGACCTGAAATAGGTAAATAGAAATACATAAAATTACCCTTTTTATTTATGCTAATATATGCTAAAATGACACCATGATCTTTTTTGATTCACCTGGAAGATAAGACCCATTAAGACTAACCATTGTGGGTTTGGATGTCCGTAAAGAGTGAAGCTTAATTTATGATCAGAAAACAAATTTACCTGCGCTGGTTTTAAAACCACGGTGTTTCCTGCAGCAAGACACGAAGCTGTCTTCCACGCTAACATCATAAGTGGGTAATTCCATGGAGTAACTATGCCACATACACTGGAAATATAGTAGTCAATATTGATAGTTTATATATATGACAGGGGATTAGAGGCTGAGAGTGCCATTCAATGAAAAAGTCAGAAAATATGGCGTGGAGTCCAGAATCCCCCCCCCCCTCCAGTTTTATTACAGATATTGTAAACTGGAAAACCTTCAAGAACCTGCATTTGAGTCATTGTCTTTTTACTTGAATCTAGCAACAGTTTTTTCACCAGCAAAAAGTAATTGTGCAACACAGGGAAAAGGATCAGAGGTGTTGACAACACTCACCCCAGTGGCTCCCTTCTTGTGTAGGTGAGATTTCTGCTTGGTCTGGCGTGGTTGATGGGAATTGTTTTACCCTGGAGTAATAATAATAATAATAATAATAATAATAATAATAATGATAATAATAATAATAATAATAAAGAGTTTTTTAAAACTGCAAGCCTCTTTTGTATCAATGCTGTGTATAAGAGATAAAAATGAAAATTCCTCAAGCTCACCAACTAAAATGAACAGTTCCATGTATGCTAAGAAATACTCACTGCAGGTAAAATGATTCTGTATTTCATATCACACCAGAAAAAAACAATGGAAAAAAGTTCTGATAATTAATGCTGAGGATCAAAGCAAGTTCTTGTGTGTGTGCCACAAAACCTACGTGAATCTTGTCGCACCATCCCGCGAAGTATTTGAAGGTGTCTATGGACATGCCCACATGGGTTTTCAGGGCCAGGGTGTACACTGCACCAGAGTCTATACTCTCTAGGGTGGCTAACTCTTCTTTGTGTTTGTCCATTAGATCTGCAAGTCTAGGAAAGGAAAATGGTAATTAATAAAAAGAAATTATTCACTTGGTATATATATCTAGACAACTTCACAAAATTGAGAGTCCTGTTTATATTATATATTAACATAAATTCCCTACATTCCAACTTTTAATGTGAATACCTGGAACTAATTCACCGTTCCGAGATGAGCGGATAAGCTCCGCCCCCTTAGATACTGTTGCTAGGTGTAACAAGCAATAGTCAAAATGGCCACCGAGCAGACAAACATCGTGTCAGATTCCTTAGAGAACATACCAGAAAATATCGCAGTTAATTTCCTTCCGAATAGTGAATCTGTGTCAAAAAAGGCTCTTCAAAAAGGACTGAACTATTTTACGCAAGGTTATATTCACAATGTGAAGATTTCTGAGGGAAACGGAACAATTTATGGTGACGCACAATGTTGGCGCTCGATGAGGAAAACTGAAGAACCGCACAAACTCCAAATCGAAATCGGCGATAAAATGTTGTCCGATTCATTTTGTTCTTGTAAAGCCAGGTAAGTTTTTACATTTTCTACTTTTTTCTTACAATTAGATTCTTTTAGAGGTACAATTGTTGCGTACGC